GGGAAATGCAAGTCAAAACCACAAGGTACCACCTCACACCCATTAGGATGGCCACAAAAAACAAACAAAAAACAATACACCCCCCAAAAAAAATTACAGGGAGAAAAAGGAAAATAACAAGTGTTGGTAAGGATGTGGAGAAATCAGAACTCTTATGCACTCTTGCTGGGAGTGTAAAATGGTGTAGCCATTGTAGAAAACAGTATAGTGTTCCCTCAGAAAATGAAAAACAGAACTACCATATGATCCAGCAGTTCCACTTCTGAATTTAAGCAGGATCTGGAAGAGATATTTGTACACCCATGTTCATAACAGCATTATTCACAGTAGCATTATTCACATTATTCATAACAGCGTTATTCACATTATTCTGTCCTGGTTGATCCACCAAGAATAAATCAACATCGATGGATGAATGGATAAACACCATGTGGTATAAAATACAATGACACATTATTCAGCCTTAAAAAGGAAGGAAATTCGGACACATCCTACTACATGGATGAAACTTGAGGACAAGTGAAATGCCAGTCACAGGACAAATACTATATGATTTCACTTATATAGGGTACCTAGAGTAGTCAGATTCAGAGAGAGAAAGTAGAAAGGTGGTTGCCAGGGGCTGGAGGCAGAGAGTAATGGGGTGTTATTGGTTAACTGGTACAGAGTTTTAGTTTTACAAGATGAAGAGTTCTGAAGATGGATGGTGGTGATGGGTGCCAAAAAATGTGGAGATACTTAATGCCACTGAATTGTACATTTCAAAATGATTAAGATGATGGATTTCACGTTCTGTATATTTTACCACAATTAAAAATAATAAATGTTAAAAAAAGAAATATAAATTATAATGAATAAATATCACATTTTTAAATAAAAATATTTAAAGTGAACATTTTCTTTCTCTTAACATCTTTATTGGAGTATAATTGCTTTACAATGGTGTGTTAGTTTCTGCTTTATAACAAAGTGAATCAGCTATATGTATACATATATCCCCATATCCCCTCCCTTTGGCGTTTCCCTCCCACCCTCCCTATCCCACCCCTCTAGGTGGTCACAAAGCACCGAGCTGATCTCCCTGTGCTATGCGGCTGCTTCCCACTAGCTATTTATTTTACATTTGGTAGCGTATATATGTCCATGCCACTCTCTAAAGTGAACATTTTCTGCTTAGATTTAAAAATGTTTGTTAGATATTATTAATTTTACAAATATAAAACTTTGCAATTCTAGCATGAAATGTCCATCTAGTTGCCAATTTAAGTTACGGATATTAAATAATATTGAAAATATTAAATAATGCAATATGCCACCATGTACAACTGTTGCGAATACCATGCTTATTCATGAGTGTGTTCAGAACCACAAATTGGAACAGGATGAGAATCAAGAAAACGGATGCTCCACACTTCTGGGAAACAGTACCTAATTATGCAATAACTATTGCCTTCTTGCTTTCTGAGAGGAAAGATTTGACAAGTTAATGAATTTGTATTTTCTTCTTGAGTACTTTTATTCCTCAAATCTTCTTCATGTTCTGAGGCAGTGTCTATGTTCACAACATCCGGATACACTTGTCTCTCAAAGGCAGGACCCAAGGGCAGCATTTCTTTGGAGCCAACATGGCATTCGCCTGAAAGTGGATGCTTAGACTCACGCGTCTTGCTGTGCCTGCCCTGGGTGCCAGATGGCTGGTGACAGAAGCACCCATATAACCCTCAATAAATTTGTTGCTGGTGGGCTTCCCTGATGGCGCAGTGGTTGAGAGTCCGCCTACTGATGCAAGGGGCACGGGTTCGTGCCCCGGTCCGGGAGGATCCCACATGCTGCGGAGCGGCTGGGCCTGTGAGCCATGGCCGCTGAGCCTGCGCGTCCGGAGCCTGTGCTCCGCAATGGGAGAGGCCACAAGAGTGAGAGGCCCACATACCGCACAAAAAAATAATAATAATAATAATTTGTTGTTGGTGTGTGTTTGTGATATGTGGGGTCTTCTAAAAGCACAAAGCCCCTCTTTCTTGGGCCAAAGAATGGCACTGTTCAAGCCCCACTTTCTATTCCTTGAAATGAAAATGAACCAGTTAGACTGGATCTGTCCACACAGTGAAGGCTGGAGGGGTCACTATCCAGAGGATTTATGTTTGTCTGAGTGGGATATTCCGGTTTGAATTTTTTAGATTTCAGCCACATTTTATCAGCTCCGTGATCTTGGAAAAGTAACGTATGAGGTGTATATCCGTGTTTTCTCATCTCTAAAATGGGGATTAAAATAGGACTGACCTCACTGTGTTGGGTGAGGATTAAATGAGAAAATGCATATAAAGTTCCCAGCAGCATAACTGGCCCAGGATGGATATTAGATAATGGTGATGATGATTTGGATGGCAAGGCAGAGCTTGGGGAAAATTCATGTTCCATTACAATCTCTGGGATAGACTGGCAGGTACTTAGAATTAAGAGAACTAATTGGATCAGGGTGTGACTTTATCATCAAGATCTAAGGCACAACTAATTGTTCTTTAAATCTGGAAAATAAAACAAGGCTTTCTGAGGTCTCATCAAACTCATAGATAGTTGTACGGCTGCTTGAGCAGAACTGGAATGACCACCAATGATAATAACATCAGATTCTCCAAAGGACTTGAGCAAGCTTAGGATATGCTGCACATACATGAGTGTTTCTCTGTCAAGTTTCAGGGCCACAGAGAGGCTCTAACGTCCAGGGAAAAGGTCTTTGCCTGAAATTGTGTAATTGATTGGTTGGAAGACCTGATTTGGTGAAAGCTGAGTTTTGCATACAAAACTCCGCTAACCATTGCTTTCCACCATTCCTTTGCTGAACTGTGGATCATCTAAGGGAGAGGAAAGAAAAAAAAAAACAAACTTCAAAGGTAATTCCTTTCTGCTTCAAAAACAGTCTTGGGTTTTCTGGTTTAACAGAGAATTGAGAAGTAAGCATGCATCATTAATTTCTATGCAAAAACATTCTTCACTTCAAATGGCAATTAGCTGATAACATTTCTATCTCATGTCGTGCTGAGATTTTTACGCTCATCATCACATAGCAGTAAATTAATCATTTGGGCACAGTTAGAGAGGATGTATATTTCATGAGACAGATATAGATATCAAGATCTGTTTGATATTTACTCAAGGTAAGTGGGAAGCATCTCAGATCATTATGAGGGGAGCACACTGAGCAAACAGGACTGCGTGGCAATGAAATGTATGCAGTGCAGACACATGAAGACTTTCAAAACACTCTTGGTGTCATTAGCGTAATTATTGTGAGGAAATTGGAACACTCTGGGAACTTCAACTCCAAATCATTCAGACACACCAGAACCCTCAAAACCACATCTTAACAATGTCAAGGGAAAAATCAGCAATTGACCTCCTTTCCCTCTAATCCCCTCCCTTTTCTGTTACAGAATTCACCTTTTTCACATTGTACAATATTTAAATGGGTTTCTCTTCTCGATTTGCACTTAAGTCTACTCAGCCAAATGAATCAGCTTGACCCTAAAGTCAAATTGGAAAGCTGCTGCGTGCACATTATAGGCCACCACTCAAATGAGACACGGTTTCTTAGCAGAGGAACAGTGCCTTTGACAATTTATGGAAAATAAGAGAATTGTACTTGAAAGTGCCTATACCTGTAGTGATTCAAGGGCACGTGCCAGGCTCCACGGCTGCCTGGGAGACCTAAGCAATTATGATGTGCGAGCAGAGTTATCATGAGAAAAAACTCTACAGACCCCTCTCTCTCTTCATAATTCTTCCTCCCCCCTCTATTTACCCCATGTGGTTCTCCTTAGCTCCTATGCTATCAGTGCCACTGATTATCCCACCAACCAACACGCTCCCCAGCCTCACACATTCACACTGTCCCGCAACCCAGTCCCTCCATCCTCCTCCAGTAAGGCAGCAGTAGAGGGCCCTGGGAGGACATGCTTTCATCTGGCCGTATGCAATTATTATTTTTTCAGGGAAATAATAATATTTTTTATTATTATTGTCCCTAATATTTTTCAGGGACAACTTTATGGGGAAAGGCAAAGAGATGGAATAAAATCACTTCCTCAGAGACAGTTCTAAGATATAGGCGAGGAAGGTACAAGCCCACACCCCATGCAGAAAGTGGAGGGGGAACAAAGGGCCCCGTTTCCTGGAGGGGCTGGGTGGGTACAGTGACACAGAAGGCAGTTGGTGGCGGGCGGGGGGAGGTGGAGTCTCGCCAGCTGGTGGGAACTAGAGCCTAGAATATCACTTTGTGATGGTTTTTCTCTTTCAAAGTGGCTCTGAACTTTAAAATTCTGGAGTGAGTGGGGAGGATGGCGGTGGAAATGAGTGGAGAATACAAAACGGGACATATATCTGAGCTCTGCCATCTGTGAGGGTGATCTAAAGATGCTGCTCAGGGTGACAAGCTGAAAGCACAGCAGCTCCAAGTCAAAGGGAGGTAGACCATGAGTGTAGCTGTGTTGCTACTGAGAAGTCCCTCTCTGCTGATCTTGAAGGGAATGGAAGAAATTGGTCCAATAGGACATAAAGTGTTGCTCTATTTTAGGGAGCAACCAGCAGCCTATGAGTTTACATAAATGATTATATAGGTATATATTTATATATATTTATACATCATTTAAAATTTATGTAACATATATATTACATATAAATATATATACATCTGTATAGGACATATTCTTTCTAGAAAATAATCCTTGAAACTAAAGATGATTACCAGCTAAGCCATAGAGTATCTTTGGACTCTGATAATTCATAGATGCCATGAATTTTAGCTCAGTCTTTGGACAGTTTGTGAAATCCTTGAGAATCTACATTCCCGAACTGGAATCAAGTAGTGAGAAAAGAATGATTCAAAATGTACAAAATGTAAAAAGTATATGGGTGTATACATTGGACAAAAAATAGTGACTTGACACTTATTTCTGCCCAAGTAAGAGTAACAGGGATCAGCTTTGTTTTTAGGTATGAAATAATTAAAAACTCAAATAAATATGTGAAACAAGAGTTTTTAAGATACTGAATGTCAGGAGATGAAGGACCATGGTGCCCAAGAGACAGAAAATAATTGAAGTGAGTCCTACGATGGCACTAACTTACCTTGAGAGAGTTTCCAGTCACAGTTGAGGAAAGGGAAACCCAAGCAGAGCCCGGGAATCACCATGAGTTGAGGGAGGATTCTGAATGTCCGGGGAGGCCAAGGCAGCGAGAGTTCATGGGACACAGTCTCAGAGAGGGGAGAGCCTCACAGAATGAGATGCCAGAGACCTGCAGAGGGTCCCCCACCCTTCCCCAGCTGAGCACCGATCAGTGCATGTGTTGGAGGGAACTCTCAGAGGCTGGGAAGAGCCAACTGAAAGGGATAGAAGAAATAGCACTAGGAGCTCCAACAAAGACAGAAATAGTTTGTTCCGCCCATCAGAGAGGAAAACCTTATAATTTATGGGGCATCAACAGAGCATTCAGAGGGTTTAGCCCTAGTCGTTAGGCAAAATTAGCCCTAGACTAAATGCTCCTATAATTCTGCCTCACAGAGCTTGTTTAAAGAATTAGGATGTGCTGTATTTCTCAATCCAGCATGAACCTGAGACTGACTGGATTTTGGATCGAGGTGGAAGACATCACCTTGTAAACCGCATGACCAACATTACCCAGTCAGAAGATCTATCTTCTTGTGTCTCTGCATGGCCGCTGTAGTAGGAACTGACAACCGTGTGGGTTACTTGCAGTCCAAGTCTCCATTTTTGGCTTCTGTCTCCTTTTGTGAAGATGGAATACAAATGGGACCACCTAAAGCACAACTGTGAAGACCTCCCTCTTTGGCAGCTTCCCATGTTTCCTGATTAAGCTTATTCCCTTGCTTGAGCGAATTCCAGGACTTTCCTGCTGGTATTCAGTTTAGCTCTCTCTTGATAGGGCTCCATGTTAGGAATGTTTATCCTGTTCCTATCATTACCTCAAAGAAGAGAAGGACTGAGGAATGGAAACTGAGAAATGGACGTGCCACAAGATTAAAGGAGCTGACATTCCCCAATCAAAGGACATTTATTGTGAAGCTACTATGTACTGTGCACTGTTCTCGGTGCTTTCAGATGTGTTTCAGGGGACTGTGCCCTTAAATTAGTCAAGCAATTCAATCACTTGTTTTCAATCTATTCTCAACAGGACGCTACATAGGAGATATGAAGTGAGAGTCGAATTTGTTTACTTAGAGACAATTGTTCACTTAGAGACAATTGTTCTACTATTTATTGAGAAGTCTATGTTTTATTTTTTGCTGATCTTCTGTACCAACCTGGCCATAACTCAAGTCTTCATGAATGTGTGATTCTGGATCTGGACTCTCTATTCTGTTTCATTGGTCTGTTTATCTACCCTTGTGCTAATGCCATGCCATCTTAAATACTACAGCCTGATAAGAAGTCTTGATATCTGGCAAGGTAAGATAAAAAAAAATCAGTCAGAGTAAGCTGTGGTAACAAAGTCCCACAGATTATCAGTGATACTATAATATCAGTGTCTTTCTTGTTCATGCTTCATGTTCATTACAGGTAGACCAGAAGCTGGGTTGTGCCTGGTCATCACTCTGGAGGGGGATTCCTGGAGCAGGCATTCTCTGCAATGCTGTCTTTTGCTATGATGGGGAAGAGAGAGGACGGCAAAATCATGCACTGGGTCTTAAAATTGCCACTCAGAGGTAACCACTTCTCCTATTTCTTTGTCAAAAGCACATGGTAATACCAAATTACAAGGGATCAGGAAAGTACAATCTTGCCTAGAAAGAAAATCAAGAATATTTGGCAATCACATTAATGGCTACTATGATCCCCTACTTTTTCTTTTTCAGAAACGCTGCCTACTGTTAGTCCTTTGTCATCCAATTACCTTTTAAAGTCAGCTTGGTACATTAAACCAAGCAACCAACCAATAAACTAAAATTAAGAACTCAAATCCAAAAAATCCCATTGGGAATTTTTCATTGAGATTGTATTGATTCTACAGATAAATTTGGGGAGAATGGACATCTTTACTATTGGGTCTTCCAAAACTTAAACATGCCATATTTATCCAATTATTTAGTTCTACCTTAATATACTTCAGTGAAGTTTTATCATTTTCTCCCTAAAAGAATCTTACACATCTTGTTTCTAGATATTTTATATTATTAGATGTTAATATAAGTAACATATCTTTGGTTGCATTTTCTATGTATAGAAATGCTTTTCATTATATTTGTTGATTTTTCTCTCCAAACTTCCTAAACTTTGTTTTTAATTTTGATTTTTTGGTAGGTTCTTTTGAATTTTCTACATAGGCGATCACATTTATCTACAAATAAAAAGTTTCCTTTCTTCATTTCCATTGCTTAGACTTTGTCCCCCCTGCCTTTCTGTAGTGGCCAGGACATCTAAGATACCATTGACTAGAGGTAGCTCCAGTGAGCACCCATATCTTATTCTTTATCTTAAAGGAAAAGTTTTTGGTTTTTCATTGTAATTGTGATATTTTAAACTTTTTTTGGGGTAGGAGGTTTTCATCAGGTTAAGGATGTCCTCTTTAGTTTTATCCTAAATGGATTTGGGATTTTACATGACTCTTCTTCTACGTCTTTTGTGGTCTGTAGTTTCTCTATAACATGTCAGTGCAGATTTCCTCTCGTTTATTCTGTTTGGGATTCATTGGGTTTCTTCATTCTGTGGATTGGTATATTTCATTATTTCTGGAAAATTTTCATTTATTATTTATTCAGATAATTCTTTGTCTTATTTCTTCTTTACTGGAACCCTGATTAAACATACATTAGGGCATATAACTCTATCTTTCCTATTTTTTAACCTCATTCATTTTTTCCATATCTTTTTCTTTTTGTGCTAAATTCTCACTAATTTCTTCACTATTTTTTTTAGTTCATGAATTCTCTTATCTGCAGTTAAGCTGGTCCTATAACTTTCAAATTCCATTTACATTTCTAGAAGTTCTATTTTTTTTTAAAACAATATGCTTGGTCACTTTTTATAGTCCTTTACTCTCTATTCTATTTTCAATCCCTTCTTTTACTTCCTCAAAATATAATAGGCATAGATTAGAAAATTCTTGATTTAAAAATTGCAATATCAGAGGATATTGTGAATTAATTCTGATGTTTTCTTTTTTGGACTGCTGTTGCTCAGAATGTTCTGATTCCTGTTTTTGTTTTTTATTTTCTTGACTGTGTAACTTTATCTGTGGGAATTTCTCTGGACCCTCCATTCAGCAATTACTTAATAACAGTAATTTTCCTTATGGTCCTCAGAGTTATTTTTAGTTCACCATTGTATTGAGCTATAATCCTTTGGGGTTCCAATTTCATTGGGGTTCTCTAGTGTCCCTAATATGGGATTTGTCTATAGTCCCCTGAGCCACTAAAAGCTGTGAAAATAGAAATTTAAGTTCACCACATTCTGCATATTTTCTCAAAAAGAAAAGCTGGTTTAATGTGCTATATATCATCTTGGTTCATGCCTCCACTTAATTTTCTGTCTAATATTCTTTACCTTTTAGTCAGTTAAGTCATATATTTAAGAAAGTGTTTCTCAGATGTTATCCAACATCTTTAGTTTTCAGTGTGTCAGTCAGTGTACCAGTCGGCAACCTTGCCAGAAATGAAAGGCCTTTTTAATCATCACCATTAATAAAACTGATACTTTGTCTTCTCCTTCTAAGAATTCAGTTACATGTATATTAGGCCACATATATATTAGATCACAGTCTAATGATCCATTCTGGTGTTTGTTTTCCTTCACTTTTCTTTCTCAGTGTGTTAGTTTGGATAATTTTTATTGATCTGTTTTCAAGTTTGTTGATTCTTTCCTCAGTTTTATCCAGTCCGCTAATGAGCCCAGCAAGGAGATTCTCCATCTCTGATGTTGTATTTTTTATTTTAGTATTTGCATTTGATTCCATTTTATAGTTTTCATCTTTCTGTTGAAATTCTCCTGTTCATGTATATAGACCCATTTTCCCACTTGAATGTAACCTATTAATCACAGTTATGTTAAAGTTCCTCTCTGATATTCCAACATCTGAGTTATCTCTATTGTCTGGTTTTCTTAATTGCTTTAACTCTTGACAATGAGTTTTTCTTGCATTTTTGGGTGTGTCTTGTAATTTTTTAAATTGAATACTGGACAGTGTGTGTGTAAGAATAGTAGAGATTATTCCCAGAGTAGAAGGGGATCAGTGTTTTGCTCTGTGAATATGATTTAGCTTCTCTGAGCCTCCAACTTGTTATCAGCAAAATGTGAATAAGCCCCAACTTCATAGATATATTATGTGAAATATATAAAACATAAATGTAATATAGTATTATCATTTGTTTGGTGACAGATCTTTAATAAGGCAACTGGATTTTACATACTTGATTTTTTCCCCAAATGGTGACTTCTTTCTGTGAATTAAAAAAACTTTAACCTCATTAAAAAATTCTAATAATATAAAAATGTACAAATTAGAAAGCCAGATGCCTCCATACATTCAGTTAAGACTGTACTACAATTGTGTGCTCCTCTACTCCTTCAGTGAATAACTTAACAAAATATTGGTCACTGTAATTAATGTTCGTAAATACATGCATAAAAGCCAGAGGTCTTCCAAAGCTTTATCCAGTATTTACTTTCAAAGTAGAAACAGTATTTTTAATATGTGGTATAAAGAAATTCCCTCACTGTGATCCCTACCATTGGCTGATTCTTTGTGGGGGTGGGGCTTATTCCTTACACTAGGAACAGAGAATTTGGAAAGTATCAAGAAACATGATATCAGAAAGTATGAAAAAGTGTTGTGCTTTGTAAATGATCACATAAAATTGTTAGGTGAAGCGGGGCTCCTTGAAGCTGCAGACCCAGGATTCCTGGCCAGAAAGGACAAAAGTGCCTTCTCTCTTGCTCTTGCTAAGACCTGGGCAGCATTTCTTCCATGTCTGCAATGACATAAGAGACAACAGCCCAAACAGCAGCAGCAACATTCATCTGCTTTGGATCCATGACAGTCATGGTGTCTCCATGGGAGTGATGGAAGGAGAAATATTTATACAGGTCATCAAGTAGACTGGCTCCTGGGGAAAAAAGAGGAGGAATTCTTAGTGAAGTATTTTGACGGGCATTGCTGAATAGCAGCTCAGAAACCACTGCCCCCTTCCCTGATCCTATTATACAGGCTGCGATGGCAAAATAATGATGTTCCCAGCCTCTCTTGCAGCAAGAAATGGCCATGTGACACTGTTCTGACTACTAGGATATGAAGTGGCAGGCGGTGGGTGAGTTCTAGGAAAGCCTTTACTTGGCTGACAAGAGTCAGTAAAATGCCCTCATGCTGAATTAGATGAGAAGTTTGGAACTGCAGGGGGCAAAAAGCCCACACACTAAAAATGGCAGAGTGGAAAGACAGAAGGAGCCTGGATTTAGAAAATATTGCAAGCCCATTGAATAAGCTCTACACTGCCTTCTTCTGGACTTCCTGCTACCCAAAGGAAAATAAACTTTATTTGAAAAGCAAGTGATACAATACCCTCTTTATTTATAAAGAGACAGTATTTTTTCGTATTAGGAGAGTGCACATTTTTTACCTCCCCGGATACAAAAGAAAGTCAGTACTCCTTTGCTCAAGTTTTTCTTCTCAAATCATTCATTTACTTCCAATAAAATTTCCCAGCAACCTCCAAGGGCACCAGCAGGAGTCTCTGCCCCACTTAAGAGCTTTCCTGTCACTCTAGTGAAGCTTTTCTCTAGTTTCAGCCACGGATCAGAGCCTCGAGGTATCTTCACACCTCCTAGTCATCCTTTGGAACCTACCTGGCCCATTCTGTGGGTTCCAACTGCAGTTCTTTAGCCTCTGGAACTAATTTATTTATTTACTTACCATTTTATTATGAAATATAGTACCATACATACATAAGATTGTAGAGAACATAATGCATATTATAAACGGTGACAAGATAAGAGTTCACGTATGTCCATGATTCAATGCAAGAATATCACCAGCACCTTTGAAGCCCATCTTATGAGCTCCCTCCCACCCACCCCACTCCACCCCATGGATCCTTTCCTCCCTCCAGAGGAGGGAGGCGCCCACTATCTTGTTCTGCTTGTGTGATAACCACTCATTGCTTTTCTTTATAGTTTTACCAAATAAATATAATCGACACTCTCTAGGGTCTAAATGTAGGAGTGGAACTGCTGGGCTATAGAGCCACATGTGTGTTTAATTTCATCATGCAGGTCCAAAATGTTTTCCTTTTCAGTTTATCCTCTCATTGTCAGTATATGAGTCTTTCTCTTGCTTCACATCCTCTCTAGCACTTGGTGTTGTCAGGCTAAGTTTTGCTAATCTGCTAGGTGTGAAATATTACCTCATAAGGTTTTAATTTTTTAAATTATTAATGAGACTGAGCATGTTTTCACATATGCATTTTTTGTCATTTATGTTTTCTCTTTTGGAAAATGCCTGTTCATGCCCCTTGCCCTTTTTTTTTTTGCGGTACGCTGTCCTCTCACTGTTGTGGCCTCTCCTGCTGCGGAACACAGGCTCCGGACGCGCAGGCTCAGCGGCCACGGCTCACGGGCCTAGCTGCTCCGCGGCACGTGGGATCTTCCCAGACCGGGGCACGAACCCGTGTCCCCTGCATGAGCAGGCAGACTCTCAACTACTGTGCTACCAGGGAAGCCCCCCTTGCCCATTTTTTTTTTTTAAACATCTTTATTGGGGTATAATTGCTTTACAATGGTGTGTTAGTTTCTGCTTTATAACAAAGTGAATCAGTTATACATATACATATGTTCCCATATGTCTTCCCTCTTGCATCTCCCTCCCTCCCACTCTCCCTATCCCACCCCTCCAGGCTGTCACAAAGCACTGAGCTAATATCCCTGTGCCTTGTGGCTGCTTCCCCCTAGCTAGCTACCTTACTACGTTTGTTAGTGTGTATATGTCCATGACTCTCTCTCGCCCTGTCAAAGCTCACCCTTCCCCCACCCCATACCCTCAAGTCCGTTCTCCAGTAGGTCTGCGTCTTTATTCCTGTCTTACCCCTAGGTTCTTCATGACATTTTTTTCCCCTTAAATTCCATATATATGTGTTAGCATACGGTATTTGTCTTTTTCTTTCTGACTTACTTCACTCTGTTTGACAGACTCTAGGTCTATCCATCTCATTACAAATAGCTCAATTTCATTTCTTTTTAAGGCTGAGTAATATTCCATTGTATATATGTGCCACATTTTCTTTATCCATTCATCCGATGATGGGCGCTTAGGTTGTTTCCATCTCCGGGCTATTGTAAATAGAGCTGCAATGAACATTTTGGTACATGACTCTTTTTGAATTTTGGTTTTCTCAGGGTATATGCCCAGTAGTGGGATTGCTGGGTCATATGGTAATTCTATTTGTAGTTTTTTAAGGAACCTCCATACTGTTCTCCATAGTGGCTGAACCAATTCACATTCCTACCAGCAGTGCAAGAGTGTTCCCTTTTCTCCACACCCTCTCCAGCATTTATTGTTTCTAGATTTTTTGATGATGGCCATTCTGACTGGTGTGAGATGATATCTCACTGTAGTTTTGATTTGCATTTCTCTAATGATTAATGATGTTGAGCATTCTTTCATGTGTTTGTTGCCATTCTGTATATCTTCTTTGGAGAAATGTCTATTTAGGTCTTCTGCCCATTTTTGGATTGGGTTGTTTTTTTGTTATTGAGCTGCATGAGCTGCTTGTAAATTTTGGAGATTAATCCTTTGTCATTTGCTTCATTTGCAAATATTTTCTCCCATTCTGAGGGTTGTCTTTTGGTCTTGATTATGGTTTCCTTTGCTGTGCAAAAGCTTTGAAGTTTCATTAGGTCCCATTTGTTTATTTTTGTTTTTATTTCCATCTTGCCCATTTTTGAATTGATTTGTTTGTCTTTTCTTATTGATTTGTAGGCGTTCTTGATATATTTTAGATACTAATCTTTTGTTGCTCGTTGGTTTATATAAATCACTTCCCAGTTTGTAGCTCTTTTCACTCTGTTTATCGTGCATTTAGATGAATAGATGTTCTTACTTTTAATATAGTTGAATTTATGAATCCTTTCCTTTATGATTTTTATTTTTTATATTTTGTTTAAGAAATCCTCCCTACTCTTATATCACAAAAATAGTCTCTGGTGTCTTATTCTAAAACTTTTAAAGTTTTGCTTTTCATTTTAAAGTTCTTCATTCATTTAGAATTGGAATTCATTTTGGTGTAGGGTAGGCTTTTTTTATTTTTAGTTGTTCCAGCAAAATTTGGCTAATACATCCTCTTTCCCCGCTGGTCTGCAGTATCAATTTTGGCATATATCAGATTTCCTTGTTGCTTTGTTTGGGGGCTTTCTAATTCTGTTCCAGTGGTCTGTTTGTCTATTCCCAAAACAATATCACAGTATCTTAACTACCATTGCATTCTAATTCTTGTTATCTGGCAGGGCAAGTTCCCTCACTTTCTCTTTCTTCTCCTTCAGGAATATCTTACTATTCTTGACTGTTTGCTCTTTCAGATAAAGTTTAGGATCATTTTAAAATTGTACGAAAAATATTTTTGGATTTCGATGGGAATTGTGTTAATCTACGTATCAATTTGGGGAGAACTAGCATCTTTATATTAGGATACTGTGTTTTTATCCATGAGAATGGTGTGTTGATATGTTTCTATTTATTAAGTCTTCTGTAATGTCTTTGAAGTTTTGTAATACAGTTTGGCATGGCTTTTGTTAGTTTTCTTTCCTCCATGGCTTATACTTTTTGTTGCAACTGTAAATTATACATTTAAAAAAATTTGCATTTTCTGTTTGTGGCTTTCCATTTTTAGTATCAAGGATATATATCTGATTCATAAAATGGGCAAGTGATCCTTCTTTTTCTATACTCTGGAATAGTTTGTGTAAGATTAGAATGATTTATTTCCTGGTCATTTTGTAGAACTCCTTACAAAACCATCTAGGTCTGATACTTTCTTTATGGTAAGAATTTTAACTAATGATTCAATTCCTATCCTGGTTATTGGGTTATTCAGGTTTTATGGTTCTTCTTGAATTAACTTTGGAAATCACACTTTTCTAGGAATGTGTGAGTTTTTCCAAATATTCAATAATCAGCATAAAGTTGTCAGTAATATCCTGTTTTTATCTTTGTTTATGTCTGCAGCACCTATAGGGAGTACGCTTTTTCATTCCTGATACTGGTTATTAGAGTCTTCTCTTTTTTGTTCATCAATCTTGCCAGCAGTTTGTCAGCTGTGTTACTCTTTCAATAAAAAGAGAGACAGTCTTGTTTTGGGGGGACATTCTCTAATGTATAGCAGTTTTCTTTCATTGATTTTTTACTCATATTTATTATTTCCCTCCTTATTCTTAGGTTGATTCACTTTTGTTTTTTTAACTTCTTGACTTGAACGCTCAGTTTATTACTTTGCACACTTTCCTTGTCACTGACATAAGCAGTAAGACTACAGTCTTTCCCCTATTACTGCTTTAGCTCTCTATATCCCACCAATTCTGATGACTATTTTCATGATCACTTAGTTCTAAATATTTAGTAAGTCCTACTTTGATTTTCTTCTTTGACGCATGAGTTAGAATGCGTTTTTTAATTTTCAAAGGTACGGGGTTTCCTTAGTTATTTTTTCATTTTTGACTTCCAATTTAACTGTTAGAGGATGTGGGCTATATGATACAAATTCTTTGAGTTTTGCTGAGATTTTCTCTGTGGCCTATTGGATGATCCATTTTATAAATGTTACATGTGTTGAAAAGAATGTGCTTTCAGTGTATTGTGTCTGTGCATTAAAACAAGCTTGTTAATTGTATTCTTCAAATCTGTTAACTCCTTACTGATTTATTGTCTATTTGGTTTATCAATTTTGAGAGAGATGTGTGAAAATGACCTGTGATTTGGGATGTGTTTATTTTTCTTGTAGTTCCCGCAATTTCTTTTTTATATATTTCAAAGTTATTCTTTTAGGAGCACATAAACTTAGAATTACATCTTCCTGGTAAATTGAACATCTTTATTTATTTTAATGTCTTCATTGGAGTATAA